AGTCCCTCCCTGACCCTCAGCCCAGTGTGTTTGACTCCAAGCCCCTGATCCATATGGCAAAGACACTGAACTCTCTCAGGAATATCCCCTTCTATTCGTGCTGGGAGCCCCAGTGGCTCTGGATTGTAAATATTTATGTGCCAGTAAACAAAGCAGAGCCTGTGTGAGAAGCACAGGCAGCTGGGCGGGCACTTTGCTCGGGGACAATGGGCAGGACACAAAAGAACTTCTTCCCCCCCCCCCAAAAAAAAAAAAAAACAACCAAACAAAAAACCCCAAAACATTCCTTGGTTCCCTGGTAAAATCTGGTTGCATTGTGTGCCCACTGGGAGCAGGGAGAGGCACTGGCATGGCCTGTTCTCCAGCCCTGGGTGTTCCACAGGGAGGGTGAGCAGCTGGCACTGGGAGCAGGGACAGGCAGTTGATGCCACCAGCCAAGAAATGGCATTTGATTCATCCATTTTCCTCCTCTTACTCAAGAGCCTCCAGTTTGAGAGAGTTTTGACTGAAGTATCGGGGGTCTGACGTGGTGCTGAAACTGAGACAGACTTTCAGTGCCTGGCAACCTGAATCTGAGCTGCCCTTGTTTGGTGTCTTCCTGTGGGGAAGTGAAGTGGCTGGGAGACCTCTGGGAGAGCTTTCTCAGGGGGTAAACCTTCTTGTTCCTTCCTGAAAAAAAAACTGTGCTCATTTCTGAGGGGGAATAAGTCAGCAGAAGTGGAAAATGAAGCTGTTTAGAGACTGATAGGACTGACTCTTGGCCAGAGCTGCAGCTCAATCATTTTTTTCCTTTGAAACCTCTGAAGAGGAGAATTTTTTTTTCTTTCTTTCCCCTTTATTTTCCCAGGCTTTGTTGCTCAATGGCTCTTTACCTGAGGACGAGCAGGAAGGGTCCTTTGAGCTTTGTGAACGTGGGGCCTGCCCTGAAGAGCAGCTGGTGAGCACATTTCTGTACCTAAAGCTCCCTGCCAGCTGCGCTGCCAGCAACAATAACGGGGATGTTTTGCCTCCAGATCATAATCCGAAGTCGCCTGGACCAGAGTGTGGAAGAAAACCAAGACCTAAAGGTTGGAGGGACAACAGGTGGAGGGGCAGAGAGGTTTTGGGCCAAGAGATCTTTGCAGACTGTCCTGTTTGATGTTTTTTTTGGGGGGATGGAGGGGGGATGGGATGATGACAGGGCAGAGTGGACAACCTGATGGATGATGTAGGGGATATATTATGTTAGAGCTCTGGGACCGTGTCTGATGCTGGGAGAAGGATTCGGTCTTGCCCTGAAGGACAGATCTGGGGGGACTAGGCAATCATTTTTTTTTCTCAGAACTTTATTGGCAGGGGCTAAGGGAGCTGCTCAGCTATTTGTCACGTTTGTAACTCATTAAAACTGCTCTTGAATCTGTGGGAAGAGGTGGGATGTGCTTTATTTTTTCTGCAGCAGGTGTCTGAAGACACTGGGGGGATGCTGGCTTTGGGGTGACAAGATGCCATTTAATCAAATTGTGTTGCATTTTGCAGAAGGAGCTACTGAAATACAAACAAGAAGCTCGAAACCTGCAGGGGATAAAGGTGAGGAAAGGGGACACTTCAAATATGACTGGCAGAGCTTTAGTGTCTCCTGCAGCCCATGAGTGGGGCCAGCAGCAGCCATCCACCTCTGAGGAGTCCCAGTGGGGAGGGAGGTGTGTTGGGGGGCTTGAAATCGGGGGATCCTGGGGTTTGTTTCTGGCCCAAGGCAGGAACAAGCAGTTGGGTTTCCTGGTTTCTGTTCTGTCTGTAGCACTGTGCTCAAATTTCCACTCTTTTTCTTCCTGTTTCTCCTAAACAAAATATGAGATTTGCCTGGTTTTCTAAGCTCTTTTTCCCCCCTCCCCTGGTGCCTTGGGGTGCACACAGCAGCACTGCCCCAGTGAACTCCTTCTTGACAGCCGAGGAAAAAGAGCCCGGGGAATCCTTGCCCTCCTCAGAAACTGTTCAGTTCCTCCCTCTGGAGTTGTGAACACTGATAATCTACTCCTGAGCCAGAGGTATTTTTAGAGCAGCCTGTCATGCTGCTGGGAGGGAGCAAACAGCAGTAGCTGTCCAAGGTGGAGCTCTTGGGCCCTGAGTGAAAGGTGCAGAATTAGTCCTGACTTTGGCCCCTCCAGAGAGGATTTCACTGCACAACTAGGTCACACTGAGAGCTTAAGTGTCCTCGTGTCCTGGGCTGACATTGGCCTCCCTGTGCCCTCTGGGTGCTGCAGAGGTGTGGCTGGATCAGGAGCTGAGGGCACTGAGCACCCTCCAAAGGCACAGCTGCCTCCTTCCACGGGAGCCACTGCTGGAGTGGGAAGTGCAGGTTGAAGCACAGAAATCCCTCTGTCCCAACAGCTGGGATGTTGGCAGGGCAGGCACTCTGGGGCAAGAGGGTGCTGTCTGTGCACCCCCTGTTCTCCTGCAGCCCTGGGTGGCCCCACTGTGTTATGGCCACTGTCCTGGGTCACTCCCTCCTCAGGGCAGGGTCTCTCCCCTCCCTGCACCTTCCCACAGAGGACATCTCTCCCCAGGATGCTCTCCAGCAGAGGCTGATCCAGCAGGATGCTTCAGTCCTGCAGCTGAAGCAGGAGCTGCTGAGAGCAAACATGGACAAGGAGGAGCTGCACAACCAGAACGTGAGTCACTGCTTGAGGTTATTTTAGGAGGAGGTTTGGTGGCCCTGAGGGCTCCAGCAGCCACAGGGCTGAGCTCCTGGGGTGGTGGGACAGTGCAGTCAAAGGTCTGTGCAGAGCACAAACTGCACACACTGCTCTGGCCAGCAGGGAGGATGGAGATCCCTCTCCTCTCCCACTTCCTGACCTCCCAGACCTTCAGCTGGAACAGGGAGGGGCTTTCCCCCGTGTTCTCAGTGCAGTTGCATTTCTCCTTCATTCCTTGCTCTCCCTGGGCGAGCAGGTGGCATTTTGGCAGGCCATGGGCAGTGTCTGGAGGGAGGAGGACACGGGAGGGACTGCCCTGTCCAAGTGTTGCCATCCCTGGACACACCAGCTCCCTTGAACTCTGCAGATGTTTGGTCACCCTGTGGCACAAGGGGCAGGGATGACCAGTTTGGGAATGCCTGTCTCACACCTGTGTGCGTTACTCCTGCAGGTTGATCTTCAGAGGAAGCTGGAGGAGAGAAACCGGCTGCTGGCAGAGTACAAAGTAATGGAACCTCTTCCCTGGGGGCTTTGGGGGCAGCATCTGGTGGCTCTTCGGTTTTGGGCGCTTTTTTATTTTATTTTTGTGTCACCTCTGGGAATGGCACTGCAACTTATTCCTTATCCACAGCAGTCATGGATGAGTATTTGTGAGGATGGTGGAGGGATGGGATGTTCTGTGTTCTGCCTACAGGTTTTTATAGTATATTTTTTTTTTTTTCTGTGATTGCTTGATAAGTGCCTGCCACTTGTGCAGAAGCCTGTCAGGTTAGGCTGAGCCACCTGGTTGTCAGCTGATCCCTCAGGAACCTGTTTTCTCTGGGAGAGCTGTCTGGTCCTGGCAGGGGGTCTCTGGGCAATAACAACCCCCAAAAAACCGCAAACTCTGGCACTCAGCTCTCAGATGTGGCTGGGAGGACACACACTGTGCAGGGCACCATGCAGGTGCCACAATCCCCTGCCCTGGGGAGGTGGCTGTGAGCTTCACTCACGTGGATTCCCCTGACTCCTGTGTTGCAGAAGGAGCTGTGCCAGAAGGACCGGCACCTGCAGCAGCACCAGACCAAGC